TTAGAGACTTTGCAGCATACAATTAAAAAACAAAAATACAATTGCATAATACGCGGCTACTCTTATTGTTCAATTCGACCTCTTTTTATTACGTTTTATTTCATCCAAAAAATAAAAATTTTTACAGAATAGAAATATTGAAATTGGACGATTTAGAATTTAGAAATACATGCATTTCTTCAGTCGCGCTGGCAATAATGCGATTCAATTACCGAATCTGAAAAAAGGAGAAGAATTACTTCTCGCTACAATTTAAATTATATCGAATACCGAACAACGATATTCTTTTATCTACTATGTAACTATTATAATTAGTCATCAAGGATCGATAATGAAACATAATTGGTCATTTTAAGGGTCGATGATGAAATGCATAATGGAAGTGTGATGCATAGTTAGACGTAATTCAATCAATGTACCAGCGATTGATCAAGTTATCGATAATACGAAATGCGATATTATAATAAATGTTCATTGCGACACCAGGATCTTCCCACTCGGGTTTTTAATTATAACTCAAACTTATTAATAATATAATAAATTACTTATTATAATACTGGGACATCTTCCATAATAATTTCACGCGTGTAATTATATTATATTACAGATATCGTTTTGAACTACTTAATTAAAAGGACTTGTAAATTCGTTAAGAAGTAGCGACCGTCATCGACTCCCTTTCGTCACAAACATTCCAGATTCTAGGCATTTCAAAACGTTTGCGATCGATTCGAGATATTTCAGTAGAAGAAACCTTATCAAATCAGACCACGCAACGGAACAATTCCGTTTTCGTTCGCGCAACGCGAGATCTTTGCCTCGGATCGAGGCAACCTTTGCAGAATCTGATTTTGTAAAGTGGTATAATGAGCCGCGATATTTCCCGGTTCGTTTTCCGATATGCGGACGATGCTGCAAATTCGAGGAGATTGTTGTTCGAGCGTAATGGAGTTGTTGCCGTAAATTGATGCGCAAACGTGAATCAAATTACGTCCTCGTTATCTGCATGACGGTGCCCACCAGCGCGTTATTTATGTAAATGTTCACTGATTGAGTGGCTCGTGAATGAAGGCGAATAGCGCCTGCAATAACGTGTCATTTAGAAAATATAAGTTGGCGCACGACATTCCGAACTTTCACGTTTGATTTTCCCCGAGTATCCCAACTCTTTCGGTTTCTATTAACTTTGGACGTTTATCTTGACTCGATTCCATAAGGTGTTCCAGAATTATTTGGAATTCGCGGTGAATAGATTACCGGTAGTTTTCAACGGGATCTTCCTACATTTTCAAATAAAATCGTACGACAATTTTATAAGTTACGGACGTCATATTTTATGCGAAATCTTGCGAGAACTTACTTCGTATGCGGTGAACAAAGCTTTCCATTGGCGCGGACTACATCTCATACATATTCATTAATATTTTCAATTACTAGACAAGATTTTATGCTGATAGTAATTAGCAAATTATATACATTTGCCTTTTATGCATCAATTGCCGATCGGTTTTGAAATCTTATGCCAAAATTGGAAATCTAATCGCATTATTAAATTGACGTACAATTTAATATTGGTGCGCCGCTGACATATAATATAATCGGAAATATCAATATCTATTTACTGCGTGCCATACGTACATATCGATTGCGATTTATTAAATCAAAGATGCATATTTATTCGTTCCGAAAAACTGACGAGAGCGAAACCATGCTTCTGCACGTAAAGTCTCATTTATCCTAGCCTGTTCTCCTAGTTCCCCCAACTTTCTCAACTCGGCCGCTGTTTTTTGATCATAAACTTACCGCCTTACGTATATAAAGTTTACGAATCCTTTCTTCTTCCTTTATTAACTCTTAGTCCGTACCAGCGAGATATTAAACGTGTGGTTTCGTTTTTCGTGCATTGCCTCTCTCAAACGCAGCCATGAGAAATGTACAGATGTCTTGCCATAAATAATTCAGTTGTATTTTTATTTGTAATTTGTTATCGATGAATTATTAACGAATGCGTACAAGCGACGGAATGTGGATTTTCAAATACTCTCAAACGCACACACGCGATAAATAACATATGTAAACGCTAGGAATCTACAACAATCGCAAACAGTCGTCCTGCATCCTTACTTTGTTTGTCGAAGAACAAGCGATGCAACAAAAGTCTGCCCACGACGCAGGAAAACAACAATAGAAAATCCGTTTTGTATGGAAATCCGTTTGCAACGAGACAGTTTTTTGGGGGCGCCAAACACCCGTTGTATAAAAGAAGAGAACGACATATTTGTCCAGTTGTCCTAAAAATAAGTTACGCGCATTAATGTGCGCCACGCACTCCGTTTCTCCACTTGCTCGATCGTTTTAAGCCGTAATGAATTTCGCGAGTTTTACGCAATTTGCAACGAAACGTTGTACGCGTTTCCCAACTCGTGTAGTTAACGAAGTGATGTTTTTAACACAGAATGTAAATTGCGGGTTTGGGCTAAAGTGCAATTTATATTAATACCGCCTTTCCCTCAGCCGTTCAGATATAAATGTTTTACACGGGAGTGCAAATTTTGGCATTTTTATAATTTAATAGCAGACACAGCATCCGATATTATTAATTTTTCTCAAATGGCTGATTTTCTCTCTCCTTTCATTATTTACGAACCTTCCATCGGGACACGTTGATATTATTTTTTTATTTTGATAAAATCTCGCGTGTCAATTGTCACAGTACTGTGTTATTATCTTATATTTTTCACAGAAATATTGCGTATCATAACATATTGGATCTATCGAATTTTCCGTCCTTGTCGTCACGCATTCGTTTAAAGGAGTTACTATCAATTATACGAAGTAGAACGAGTAACTTTATGGTCCGACGTGTGAGCGCGTCACTTCAAGCTACCCACCCATGCTTCTATCCACTATTATTCTCGCAGTTTCTAAACAAATGCAGATATAACGAAAAAAATCATAAACGAAACCGCCCAAGTACCGAGCTAAAAATCTATTTAAACATTTTATTCCAATATTTTGGCAAAAGCAAAAGGTATGAAATAAATACCCCCAGAGATATATTAAAACAACGACGAGTGACGGATAAAGCAATAAATTATTTAGCACAGCAATTTTATATCGAGCCGCCAATATGTCCCACATTTGCTTTGAATTATCTGATCGCTGCAGTCTCAACCAATCTTGATAAACCGCAATGTCAGCCAGTCCCATCAATCTCGACGATATGCATGTTACGCTCTTCAGCTCGTTTGTCAAACGCGAAAGTAATAAAAAAGATACGAGAGTTACCTGACTCTCCTTTCCTTTTCGGTAATCTTCGATCTTTCCCGACGAAATGCAATAATGTCGGCGAACATCGGTGAGATAAAATAATTAAGAATTCTAGTGAGTATTGAAACGACCTTAGTGGCAACTCTTTATTATAATAAAACACAACGTTTCGGCCAGTACTACTGGTCCTCTTCAGGTAACAAACTTACCAGAGTGCCTACAAATATCTGAAGAACAGATCGACAAAATATGAACTAAATTAGGATAAGCTCTTACATAACAGAAGAGGAAATTAAGGTGTTGTTTTATATAATAAAACTTACAAGACTCGTCAGATTAGAGATGCGAACATTAAGTTAGAAGTCAGAAATTTCGTTGTACAATGTGTCTTGTCGTCAACGTTAGAAAACGGAATAAGCGATAGATAAGCCAAAAGTACAGGAGCTATAAGAAAACGAAATAATTAGTTCACATTGATACCTATATAACATTGTATACGTCTACGTATACATACTCGTATGTATGGGAGAATACAATATGGAAGAACATAATCTCGGGTGATATGTTCCTTCTCCTTGAGACAACACAAGACGACGTCGTTCTCTGATGAAAGAACGCGACCCATTGAGCGGTTCATTTCCGCTCGATGAATCACCGACGCTCCTCTCTCACAAACAGCAATCCGAGAGACTTGGACTCGTAATTTGAAAATTCAATGGCCACGTCGCCAGTTTTGCATGTCACATTTAAAATTGCAAATACGGGCGCCTTCAAATATTTGTAATTTACAGCGTCAACATTTTCGGGATGCTGATATTGGATACGCTATTTATGTAACGGTACTGTTTATTTTCGAAACACGAGAGCAATTTTTCAGTCCGGTCCACGGGGGAGCGAACGATTAGCTTGCTGACGACATGACTTGCGACACGCGCGCTAACGTCAGACGACCAATCGGTCACACCGATGGCTGAAATCAGAGAAGGATTGTCGCAATCATTTCGGTCCGTATTTAGAAATTGCGAGCGCGCAATTCTGTTAAATGTCACGCGCCGAAAATGCCGTGCGGGCGTACTTGAAAGAAAGTCTCGGGAAGCGTAAGAAAGACTTTGAGGAATTTTTCGACAATTCAGGAAGAATAACAGATATTTCAGATTTCAAAGCGAATATTCATGTGAACGCGAGAAAATTATTATAGAACCAGGGAAGACTGAGGAACACTGTCCTAGCTAGGAATTTCAACACCGTGAAATAAGATAATCTTGAAATTCTCGTACTATTACATGCCACCTCATCTATTTGAGAAATGTATATTTTCGCAAGACTAAATGAAAATAACATTTATATAATTGTTATCTCTCTAATAACACTCTAAGAAACGTTTATATTGCACTGTATTGGATTTCGACGTGTCCATTTCAAAAATGATAAAATTGTTTCGGGGGAAAAATGAGAAAATTATCGTTGGTGTGTGAAAATAGATTTCAAAGGTACAGAGAAGAAGCTACTTTGCATAATAAACTTGTATACTTTTTCTCTAATTAAAACAAAAGTAGATAACGCGAGCGTCACTCGAGCGGGCGAATTAAGATGTAAATCAGGAGAGAAGGGATAGGCGGCGGAGTCGTTCAATGTAGCGTAAGCTTCTAAAAAACGGCAGTCTTATTCAAATGTCGCCGGTTTGTCCAAGTGTCGACGGGGCATTATGTTAAATAATAGCGCGACGACGTGTCATTTGCTACCTAATGTTCTCGCATGTGTTCTTGAATGTCGACGACGTGTTTAGAAGTAGCTGGCTTCTTTCATGAAATGTGCATTGCAAAGGGCACGGCGTCGTGGCACGCATTACTGTCTTATCGGTATTTCATATTGTAATTTGGAATTTTTTTAATAACATTTTTACAGCATTTTTGCTTGAAAAATGTTTCGCCAAGTGTTGTCTCATTCGTTATGAGCAATCATATCGAAGCGAAAGATGTGGAGGAAAGTCCTCTATTATATGAGATAGCAGGTTTTCAACACCAAAATTCAATCGCAAATCTTTCGTCGCAACGATTACACAAAGTAACAATGAATTTTTCACTGAACAAATTTCGCCCCACCCGGCAAAAAGTATGGAAATATCTCATATTTGTCTCGATCGTGTAATATCGAATTATATCCAATTCTAAAATCATCGGATCTTCAGTGATCTGACGCTTTTATTGAAGATTCATTGTTATTATCTATTGAGGTCTTATGTTCTCTTAGGACATTTAATTATAGATTTAGTTAGATCTCAATAGATAACGTCGAACATTCAAGGAAAGTGTCAAATCTCTGAGACTCTGATGATTTTTAAAACTCGAGCTCATGAGGTATAATCAGATATTACATGATCGAGACATACACATGTAACATGAGATTTTTTCCCGTGCAACGGCAATAATCTCATGGTGGAATCGACAGATGATGCCTATTAATTTAACAGAGATGCTGTCTCATATTAGGGGCCTATTTTATAATAGGGGACTCTCTAACTTTAGAAAATAAAATGGATACTCTCTTTTAGAATATCTCGTATGTAGAGCATCGTGTGACCGAAGCAGTAAATTCATGGTGGAATCAACGGATGATGCCTATTAATTTAACAGAAACCCCGCTGTCTCATATTAGAGGCCTATCTCATAATAGAGGACTCTCCTCTAACTTTTAGGAAATAAAATAGATCCTCTCTTTTAGAATATCTCGTATGTGGAGCATCGTATGACCGAAGCATTGAAATAATACTTTTTGCAAAGGAAGGAAGTGTGACACGCACACAATTACGTATAACAGTCGTGCATTATATATAAAATTAGTAACAATATAATAATAATATTAAAACATTGTTAAATTATTCTTACAGTTCATTAAAACGATATTTATTAAAGTGTCAACGTAGAATATCTCTGTTCTAATTAACGCTGAAGCGCGTGACGTTTTTTAATATTGTAATCGTCATCGTTACCTTTGTGAAACAATTGCGAGCTCACCATCGGCCGCGATGCTTTTTCATTCGCGTATTAAAGATCCATTCAGTAAAGTAGTCGGCGAGCTCTTTCACAAAGGGGATCGGTGTTCGTTCGTTCATTCATCACTTTACCGGCGACACGCGGTGCCGCTGCGCTTTAATTCCGGAGCATCGCTTTAATGAGCGGCGACGCGGTCGCCGGCGCGGCGATTGCACGTGACCAAATTTAATTTAACTGCCACCTTCGAGACGGTCGAATAATTTCTCGCTCGCCCTATTCTCTCACCTTCGGTTACTCTGTCGTAGCAACAACGCGCGCCCTTGCGGAGATATAATTTATATAAGCCTAAAACATTGTCCATAAAAATCCCACCCCCCCCCCCAATTCTTGCCTAAAATTCCGGGGAAATTGTCTTTTTTATCTTGCTTGAATTTAAAGTTTCACGAATAAGCTTCGGAGAAAAACAAATCGTGTCATTAGTGCTGCCTAATCTCTACGGTGTTGAATGTAAACGTCTGCGAAGGAGCTTATGAAAATTTAGCGCTGCGAGTGAGGTTTCCACGTCGACTCTTTTCATTGCGGAAAGGTCCTTAAACCGGCCCGGCAGATTTCCAACAGAAACTTTCCCCAGCGTCTCAACTATCAGCCGATATGTATTAATGAGTTTCGTTTCCTTCAATCTACCGATCGACCGGGACGAAGCTACTGTCATTACCCGCCGGATGATAAATAAACGTCGGAATGCGAAGTCGCTAATTGTCAGAGATAATACTCGGTCTGTCGAAACGCGCTTCGTGACAGCTGTCTCGGTATTTCGCAGGAAAAGAGCAGTCTGCAAACGTTAACAGAGTTTGCACAGAGCGTGGTCTACATTGCCATTATTTGCGAACGGTTGAATTAAGGATCAAAGGTTGTAGTACCACAATGATCCTGCATGCTACGTCTATGGCTATAACACAATGAACCTGCATGCTACTCGTACATCCGTGGTCCACGAGACACTGAAAAGCAGAAGCATTTCCCGCCGGTAATTTCGCGATACAAAATACCATGCACGCTTTGGGCGAGAATAGACAGTTGCTTCAAACTGGTCGCCAAGGTATTCGTAGTCAGAAGTTGAAGGAAACGCGACGGCAATGTGTGATAAGTATGTCACCCCCGCGTTCAGCGAAGGACAAAGGAAACGGCGCTTTACTTGCTTACTCTTAATCGCGGTGATAATAATGATAAAACGTTCTTTCATAAAAGAGGAATGCTGTTTGATACAGAGCTTAAGGGGATGCTGGAGTGACTCTGCACTTTTGCACCTTTCTAACCTAAAAACTGTCAGTTCGCGGAAACATTTGTATAATATACAAATTAAATGACTTACGTGTACAGATCGAAAGCAGCTCGCTATTCTGGCCAAATGAAAGAATAATACGGCATCATTGAAACTAAGTTTATAAGTCCAATAAGAAATAATAGTGAGCAACACATACATACAGTACATGTAGTATATGTGTTGCTCACTATTATTTTTTATTAGACTTACAAACATAGTTTCAGTGATATCATATTGTTCTTTAATTTAGCCGGAATAGCAAGCTGCTTTCGATCATCTGTACACGTGCCATTTAATTTGTGTATTACACAAATCTTTCCACGAAACAGACAGTTTTAAGTGCAAAAGGTGCGAAAGTGCAGAATCACTCCAGCATCCCCTTAAGGGAGTTCTCTCGGTACGTAGCTAGTCAAACGTATGTATTCTCGTATTTGATTCACTCGGTACTTTGATGTGGCAACATCGCGTAAACATTTGATTGCACATTCAATGTATAAGCGAACTTCGCACGCTTCTTGTGTCATTGTGTGTACAAAGTCAAAGCAGGAGCAGATCGAATCCTCAAATCGTGAAGATAAAAAAAAGCGTGCTAAAATATTTTCTTGGAAAGGCAAGAGAGTGACTGAAAAAGATGGTAAAGATGATTTAAGATTTTCTGTTTAAAAATAAAATATATTATATAATTATTATTGTTGCTATGTATGTGTTTCATTATATTTCCAGAAATCTTTTTTAATTCAAACGTTTAAAAATCTATGTGATAAATGATTAATTTAATTAAGCATTACTTTTTTCGTGACTGGAACATTTACACTGACGAATTGTCCAGCATGCAGATAATATTATATTATGGATAGCGCACACTCTAACCTCTTTTGCGACGTTGCCACATCGGCCGGCTACCCGTGAGATTATCGAGATTTGATATAAATTTGCGTATTCCTACGCTCTGAATCAGTATTTTTGAGTACGCAACATGTTCTTCAGGCTTTAAAGTTATTTCCTGTCAATCTTTATAATAATCTGAACTGTAATTGTTGTAAAATACGGAATTGAATGTACCAACACACACACAACGTGATTTCCCATAAGACTCCGTGATAAACGCGTAAAAATGAAAATGCTGAAAACTCTTCTCTCTGCACGCTCTGAAAGTTAACAAAACTTTAACTGAGTAATTTTTGGACAAATATCTACTAATATATCGAGTTTCATAATTAACTGAACCGTAATTCGCTAACCGAGAGTAAGCTACCTTAATTCCAAATCCACATTCTATTATTTTGCGGACAAGTTAGATCGACACAGATTTATACCATAGAGGGAAAGATTCGTGTATCCTTTTCCGAGATCTATTGAGGTATTTCTATATTTTTTAATAAATTTCCCGAGCCCTCTATTCCTTCAAATTTGTGCCTATCACATTTGAGCCATAGAACTTTTTATTAGTTTTTTTTTATAAATGTTAATATTTCTATATTTTTCTATCAATTTAATTATGTTCCCACAGAGTTGTGCGACAAATGCATACCAGAAAAATTCCCTGACAAATCAATGAATAAAATTGATTATATCATTTTTCACTGAGACTTGAAATGAAGAAAAAATATCTATCACCCGGTTTACGTAAGTTAATTGCGTAAATCGTGAATGAAAAATGATGAGGGAATATATTTAGAAAATGTCGTTTTATTAAGAAATAAAAGTATCAAACCCAGTTACGTAGCACGGCATATTTGTTCGGCCGCGAAAATTGTTGCTTAAAGTGAGCTCCGCGCGAAGCCGTATTACGCATACGTACATCACGGCTTTGTGTCTAACAATAAGTGTTTTACGACTTCGTGTATAATAAAATTTGTTTCCATATTTTTTTCCACATTTTTTTATTTATGCACCGATCGCCAGCGGTATATTTCATCGCGAGTGACGTTTCGTTTCTCGTACGTTGCATTCGCCTGAGCGGAAGAGATTGTAAAAGGCTTCGGCGGGTAACTCAATGCGTTTCTCTCACGAAAGACACGCTCGCTTGCGAGATATTACGGGAACGAAATTGGGAGGAAAAGGAGAACAGAACGTCGATCGGACGAACACGCAAGGTGGCCAGGACGCAATTTCGTGCAGAGTCAACGATCGAGTTCAACAGAAGAAACGATAAACCGGGGTCGGTTATCAATTATTTTTATATGCAGATCGCGTCAGATTGCTCACGTTCTATAACAATTCTAGAAGCGATTAGTTTTAAGTATATAAAATTAAATTAAAATGTCGAAATCTTCGCGTGTGCGTATACGTGAGAGCTGCGTATCGAGTAAGAGAGCAGAAACTTTACTCGGCATTTAATCTCTCTCGGATAGATTTCACTTTGATAAAATTTTTAAGCAAGCTTAGACGCAGAAAAATTCGTAATACGTTTCAGAAATTACGGGGATGACGTTCTATTAAATGTCCGCTTGCTCCAAATTGGCGAGAGACTCGATAGAATGATGGAAACACGGAGAATTTGAAATATACTTAACATTTCGTATCTTCGCTGCACTCTTCCTTTATTGCGCGATCAAGTAAATAGAGAACAAAGAGAGATCATTGCGACGCGAGAAGGCACGAGATTAATTCATCAATTGTACCAGCCTTGATATTTTGTAGGAATTGAGGCAAACGTAGCAAAATAATTTAAATTCTGTAGTGTCTTTCGCCGTATTCTCACTTTGCCCTTTGTAAAAGAATAATAAAATACAGAATACGGAACAGGGCGAGGAGGGACGAGAGAACTGACTATTTCAGTTAAGTCAACTAAAGAAGAAATCGGATAAGACATTTTAAAGACGTCTAAAAATCTTGGCAGCTCCAAGAGCCTTGGGGAAAACCACATATCGAAGTATTGAGTCGGCCTTAATAATAAAAATTAATAAATAAATGCAAAATATGATTGGAGCTCGACACCTATCCCTAGCCTACAGACGATATTGATACCAAAAGAAACTCGCGAGTCTTATTTCTAAGCATCTCATGACACCCTCATGTCTCGCGCACAGAAATTAATGAATCCTAATTGCAATTAAAGGTCGTTGTAAAGTCCGTTTTCCCGCTGTGCCACCAATTTCGAAATACTCTCGTGATTGTTTCGGTATCGATTATCTGTTAACAACGGCATTGCGCGCAAACACTACACGCATGTACGTGCACTTCATCCCCCGTGACGCCGAACGATTCTCCTCGTAAAATGATAAGCAAAGACACGACGATCGTGGCGTGTATAACGCCACGGTTTGATTTGACATTATACGACGACGATTTTTTTTTACGCATTTTCCTGGAACGAGCGATAAACCTTTATCATCCGCGACTTAACACGAGCGAAGTAGCTTCTCTTGTAAGCGGCGGAAGAGAGAATTTACAGCTTGCCTTGTAAAATACGCGAGGCGTAGGCAACGGTAAGGATACATTTAAAGTTTGCACGATGACGCAGGCACTTTTAAATATTCTTAAGTATTCTCTCAATATTCTACGGGCCGCAATCCGTGAAATACATTTTACCGAGTTATTTGATAGATAAACGAAGCTATGTAAAACTGAGAAAGATTGACTTTTACGCAAGGAGTATTTATCTCATTTAATTTGCGATCGGAACTTTGAAATTTATTAGTTGCAAAGTTTGATCCTCAAGACTCCTTTACTTGTACCTAATACTAAATTAATAATTTTGAAGCAAAAATTTATGAAACGAAATAAAATAAAATTAAGCTCCAGTTTGCAGCTGGAGGCTGGGGGGGGGGGGGCTTACGTACCTATATTAAAATGTCAAGCTAGTTACGGCTGAAAGAGAACTTTGCGACTTGTTAAAATCGAACCTATTGTAAAACTCAAAATGGCCCGTCAGAATTTCTCGACGTGAGTTTCGTGTCGGAATGGGAAGCGAAATTCTAGGTAATGTCGATACCTAGCTCATAGGCATCTTCGGCACGTGTGTTACACTATTATTAGAGTGGTCATTAACTAGCGTTCAGTGGACGATAGGATGCTCTCAGATCATTATCTAATTGACGTAACTAACTCAATCATCTTGGAATAATGACGATTCGACGGCGGCGCCAGCGAAAAGATAAGCCGGCGCTCATTAAATGAGTAAATCTAATTAAAAATGTCGTATAGCGTCGCTTATCCATCTCTCTGATTAGTATTAACACTTAAGCAAGCGTAGCGAGAAGCAAAACACTTCTGAAGTCGGACTGACGTTAAACAAAAAGCGCGTGAAATCACTTAGGTATATATACAATAATATATATATATATATCTCTCTCTTGAAAAATTGATTTAATAAAAAATCAAAAAGAGAATTGCATTAGCCTTGCCGTATTCCAATGTTGGACGACCGTCATTTTATTAAATTGGAATTTTGAGGAAACAAAAGAT